CCCTGAAATCAAATTGTAGAAATGTTACACTTATATATGAACTTTCACTGTGAATGAACCTGGATAATTTTTTCTTCTTCAAATAGCTTGTTTCCTCATATAATGCAACCCCTCAACCCAAAGAATATGAAATAATCATCTTCTTACTGTCATAAAGACAGATCCTGCAAGCCCTTTCTACCAGTAATAGTCTTTATTACCGAGGATGGCACAGCAAGAAGAATTTGCAGGATCCTGTTCCATGGTTCTGAAAGTTGTCAAGAACTGAGGCTCAGTTTTAAACCTTAAATTGTAACAAGTAGAGTTTAGGATTATGCTTGACCAGGTTACCTCTTTAAAAAAATCATAACTGTCCATTTCTTTTTCTTGCATAGAAGCCTAGACAGGCACAGAATCCAATGATAGTCAGAACTATGCCTAGCAAGAGAGCAACTGCATCTCCAGCATCTAGGGCTTCGACCACAGGAAGCATAAGTATCAGTGAAAAGAATGCCAAAAAGAGTTTTGAGGTGTCTCCAAGAAAAGCCATGTTGCTCATCTGGTGGCCTTGGAAGGGAGGTTAAACAAGGAGAAGCTGGTACTTCAAATGTATCTATAAATAAAACAAAACAAACAAGAACATGAAAGGACTTTTTCCTTTACATTTTCCTTTACATTTATTTCCAAGAATTCTACATCGACAGATATGACTGGAGTATCACCAGATTTGTATGGAAATGTATTAGAGTGTGACTGAGCCACAGAACAGGGAGATTCAGGCTTGGTCTTCAAAGATACAAAAGTGATTTTCTTTATAGTAAGATAAAAACTCCGGGAGAGTTTTCTCACTGCAAAATCCTAAGTGAAGACATCATAGTGTTTGTTATGAGGAAGCCGGCCAAAGCCAGCACTGTACTCCCTGCCCATAGTTGATGTTATCTAGTTTCTCTTGCAGTAACACTAAAGTGCCTTGTCTCCACTAAGATTTTACAGCAGGATAGCTAATGCAGTAAAGCACACACCTTTTTCATCAGTGAATACATAGCTTTAGAGAAGTTATTCTGGAATGAGGATGAGAATTTAAACCAAAAATAAATATTGTGGATGCTCTATTTTGGAATATGGGTGTCTTTTCCAGTTAATCTTTAATTTACTTCCAGAGGAGATTAAGCCAAATCAGAAAAAAAAGCAATCTTATTCCAGAATAGAAGGTGTCCACATGGGGAGCTATTCTGGTTGATATCCCCAAGTACACAAGCGCCTTAATTTTCTTCCTGGCTCAGCCAAAGTTTCTTATATGACCTGGGGGCAAGTAACAAATTCCATTGTGCTTCAGTTTTCCCATAATTATCCCTACATGAATTGCATTGCTAGGGAGATCCATGCATTATATTATTAGCCTGGTAAGTGATATAAATTTATGTTATTGCTGGGGATGTAATAGTGTAGCTAGTTAAACGATTAACTGAGAAGCGGATGCTTATTGGTTAATGATACTGACTATATACAGACCTCTCTCCCTGGCTTTGCCAATCAATTTTTTAGTGGGCTGGCTGGCAGCCTGGCTCAGTACCCACTTGCACTGGGTCCCAGGAGCTGCCCCTGCTGCAGCAAAAATATTTTAGGAGCCGGTAGTGCAGAGCCATAGTGGGGGTAGCCCCAGGGATGAGGCGTGAGCTGGGACTGAGCCAGGCTGCCTGCGTGCTGGCTCCTAAAATACTTAATGTAGAGCCGCAGCAGGGGTTGTTGCTGGGACCCAGCATGAGCCAAGACTGAGCCCTGGTCTACACTAGGATTTTATTTCAAAAGAACCCACCCCCACCAGGTTGAATTTATAAAAGGAGCATCCACACTACCAAGCCCGTTATTTCAAAATACCGGGCTGCAGAATTCAAAAACTGTACTCCCACTTTTCATCAGGAGTAATGCTAATTCTGAAATAGTTATCGCAAAATAACAGTAGTGTGGACGATTTGGTGGCGCTATTTCAAAATAATTACTCGCCTGAGTAATTTGAACTAATTTATCACCAGTGCTTTCTGGGACACTAAGTCCGAGGTACCCACATTTTTTGTTGATACACTATTAACGAATTACATGCTGAACGTCCCTAGTTATTGCCACGATTATTCTGACCCAACCAGCAAAACAATATCCTTTAAAAAAAGTGGACCTAAAGCCTAACAAAACTGTCCGTGTTTACACTTTTTCAGATTTCCCTTCCTGTCTAGTCAAACACTGGAGTTTGCAGGACAAACGAGCACAGAGACTTAGAAAACAGGATAACATGCAAATCATCTACACCATTTCATCCTCCAGTAAAAGTCTAACAGAAACTTACCTTAATCTCTATAATTACTCTCTGATATTTTCTTTTTGGTTAGCATTAGAATCTAGAAAGCAATGAACTCCTCAGTCATCACCTGTCAAAAATCAAGAGAGTTATTTGCTCAGTTGGTGGAAGTGTAAGAGTTCTGCTAGCCCCAGACAGTGGAAAGGAAAATAGGAACAGGCAGTGAAGTGAGAAAAAACCCCAAACCTCAGAGCTTAAGAGTCATATGCAGCAACATGTGACACATAAAATCAGTTTCTCTGTAGACAACTTTGCGCAAAATATGAACTCTTGGTCTGAAAGCAAAGGGAAAGCTGGAGCTATGAACGGCCTAGGATCGTTTCAATCTACACAGTTTATAGTCTCTCACCCCTGTAGTAGAAGCCAGGCGTCTGTGCACTGCCGTGCTGGAGGCAGCCATTAGAGGAAGCAAGGG